TTAAACCATATATATTCAAGATTTTAATAAAACGGTTCAATATATAATTTACAATTGTGTGTTCTATTAAAATTATTGCGAGCATTACATATTCGGAGCTTCTAAGGATTTAACTTTTCCAAGTTCAGTTTCCGAAACAGCATTTAAATACATATTTAATACGAGCTCACTGGAGAATTAAAGCATGTGCAGGTTCCAACATTGAATTTTCATTCCTTGATCAATTCAATAAAACAACATCTTTATGGTCAGATTATTTTGAAGGCTTTTGGTAACCAATAGTTAACTAGAGTTTTTGTAAAATACAATATTATTAAGTAAACTAAAATGAAAAGCTTAAAACGGAAATTGCAGAATGCTCACAAAATCCACATAGTTTACATTCCATTCATTGGCTTTATATAATCAATTTTCTTCGGGGGTGTTTTTGACCAAATCTCTTGACAAAATACTTGAGGTCTGAAACCAACAAAAAAAATTGCTGTCACAGAGAATTGGACTTGGGTTGGAAGAGATTTCAGTGTCACCCCTGGATATAACGATAAAAAAATATAAGAGCATGCTTTTCACTGGACATGCCACCTGTTTTGGTATAAGAAACTGTCTACACAACATTCTGATTATATATTATCTTGTTATGCTAATCCAAGCCAATTTGGCTGCTTACCAGACAATGATATTATTAAATGATGTCCTTTATAGGTTGATTAATCTTTTGAAATGTATTTTGTACTCTGGGAAACATATTCCGAACAGCACAATCATTTTTCAGCTACCTTGATTGATATCACGCTACCAAATTAGAGAAGCCTCTTTCTGCAATAAGCATATAAGAAAAATTGAAAAAAACAGCACCTGCAAAGTGGCAAGCATTCAAAATGAGTACTGCATATGCTCACCCACACAATAATAACCAATAGTAATAAAAGAAAAAAATAGCGCATGTGGCACACTTGGCCCCAAGACAAACCGAGGCAACTTATATTTATTGTTCAAATTTTGTGACTTCTCTGTTGCTGTTATTGCCACTTTTTGTTGTTTGCTGTTGCTGTTGCTGTCATTTTTTATTTATTTTTCCCCTACTCCCACCACCTGCCGCTCGACATCCTGGGCTAAATATGTTTCAAAGGAAATTGATTTGCGGCAACAGCAACAAAAGCAGCAGCAACACGAACAACAGCAGAAAACAACAAACAACAAGTCAAACATCAGCAACAAATACGTATAACAAGTAAATGTTCTCGCTGCGAGAGTGCACGACTTGGAGTTACCTTGTAGTAAATGTGTTTTTTTTTTATTTTTTGAATTTCTTCCGTTTATTTTGCGCTGGAATCGATCAGTGCCTTCTGATCTCTACCAAGCGAATAATTAATACTGGTTTATAGTTACTATAATGTAACTTATGTAATAGTAAATGGTAGACTGCGGCTATATTAGATTTGTTATAAATTATTTATGTTATGGTGTTTTATTTGTTCTATCTCTTGAATTACATACTGTGAATGATATAATTTGTATTCAATTAAAAAATTGTTATTTAAATTTAAACTAACCGGATGAAATTTTAAAAATGAAATATGAAAATGGTGTCCGATAGTTGAATAGTAAGAGAATTAAGTTTCATGCTAATCTTATGCTTAACTGCAAAGCGCTTAATTAGTTCTATAATGTCGCCTTCGTCACATTCGTCACCCTGATGAATCACGAATTTCATGATAGAATTCAATCAGATAGGAATTCCAGATCGGAACAATTGATTGATTGAAATAAACCAAGTTTAGAAGATGGGCGCAATAACTAGAGTTATGACTTCTTCTCTGCCTTAAGAGAACGCTGTACTACCTTCAGATCCATTTTCAAGGTTCAGTCTAAAGTAAGTCCAAGGTAAGTGTGACGCATTTTAAAGAGCTGCCATAGTAAGCAAATTCATCATTTTTGGCTCTTCCACACTCTGAGGCAGCTGCACGTAATTATAGAGCATTATAGTACTGCAAACCAACTATAACTACCGATAGCAACGATGATGCGTTTTTCTATTTTCAACCTTTTTTGCCAATTCTGACATTTTTAGACCTACTTTCACACATCTTAGCCCACTTTGAGCGATAAATTTTTTTTCACCGTTCCATGACATATATCTTATAAGCCATCTGAAGCCAACGCCTCTTGAAACTATCGATAGAAAAGCTGTGCCATAATATCGCCTATTCACTGCGACCACTAGTACAAAAAAGTACAGGGTATAAGCCGCTTCATTTTCTATATGTATAAAGCTCCGCGTGGCGAAAATTTCCTTTTACCAAAAATTTCTTGCCGCGCTGCACTTTTAGTGACCTACAGTCCCTTCACACACACACACAGAGGCACACACACACACATAGACACACACCATCGTTTGCTATTTTGTTGGCAGCGTGCCCCATCAATCCATTGAAGCGTTCACATCATGCATGTGCCCCCACACTTGCACGCGACTAGAGGCGACTTTTGTTACAGTGACAATACAACGCAACCGCCACCAACCCACCATCGCACAACATCACCCCCCCCCCCCCACCACCCTCCACTGAACGCTCTATAGAATTCACCCGCTGCGCTACTTTTGAACAGAGAAACATAAATTGTTTGGCTAATTGCAAGTGGCTTTCGTCTGTCGCCGCTGCCGCTCAAGCAAATTGTGGAGCAACAACAGCAACAAAGAAGCATCGAGAAGCAAAGGAAGAGCAACAACAAAGAAGTTAACAAGGACCTGCTTGGAAACAATGCGGGAGCCTGCTCCAGCTCTGGGTCCAGCTACAGTCGCTTTGAGTTTCATCTTTCCGCGCGTAATTGGCAGGAAAACTTGGGCGTTGGGCGGCGAGGATACAGTTCTTTCAGCCAAGAAAGTTGTCTGGGGTCACAGATCAGCTCAGAATTGGCTTGTGTCGCTGCAGAGAGTGTTGCCCTGTGTACAGCTATTAAAAGTAAAGTTAAAATAGTTGTGAGTTATTTAATATTATGTCGTTTAAAGTTGGAGCTGAGATAAGAAAGTTCAAGAGGTACAGTTGCTGAACGGCCCATAAAATAGAAGACACATTATCCCATTCAAATAATCCACAAGCCCATACTCAGATCTGTTTGTGTTATCTAACTGATTAAGATTATCTAGCATTAAGTGCAGCAAAACTATCGAATATTTGATTAGTTAAGTGTTGAGGCAATGCAAAGGATCCACATCGACAGCGATAACGATAACAATATCGATTTTTTTTTAGGTGCTATAACGTGATAATTTAGTAGTCTAATCTGATACGGTTTCCAAATATGTTAGCTTCGTTAAGATATCTTAAAAAACAGAAAAGTTTTCCAAACAATACGAGATAGTAATCCGATGATGATAAGATTTTGCTAATAGTAAAACTGGTAAATGACATTTCATATAAGAACTTGTTTTTTGTCCAATCCTTCCCTTGACAGCTATTTGATATAAGCGTCCGATTCGACATATGTACTGCTTGCAACAGAAGGACGCAACTATGAATAGTTTTCAAAGAGGGAGAAATTTTCAAAGTAACAAATAGACGGGCAGACGAACCTGATACTCTCTGCCATAGTTGTAAAAATACTTTAAAAATTTATTGAGATTCAAATATTAATGTTTGAAAATATAAAAGAGCATTTGCATCGTCATTTTTATCTGTCAAGTTTTTCATGAAATATAATATCCAAATGACTTTTTTTATGCACACATTTAATAGTCCAGTCAATAATTAAATTCTGTGTGTTTTGCCTTCGGATATTTGGATATGATTTGAGGCTTCGATTCACTGTTTTTCACACAATTTCCAAATTTGAACAGCATATTTGTAAGCTTTGTTACATTTTTCTTCATTTTCATATTAATATTTTATTGCAAAAGCGAAATATTTGCACACGTGTTTAATAACTGAGCATATAGTTAATTTGCCTTACTAAGTGAGCATATAGTTGATTTGCCGTACTAAGCACCTGCTGTTCGTAGCTGACATTTATCGAAAGACGCAAATTCACCTTTTTGAATCGCAGCAAAACTTATATTTATTACGAAACTTTCTAAGCCAGCTTAGCATTGAAATTGATTTGATTTTTATCCACAGACAAAGAGTAAACTTTTATTAAACCTATAGCCACACAGCACGATGGAAATTCCTTGGTGATATGACGTAGAGCTTAGGAATTTCTCAACTTGTGAGCAAGAGAATTTTCTGGCTTGGTCTATTGGGAATTTGAAGTTTAATGCAAATATAATTAAAGGCTCAGCGTTCATGGGTATGCAAACAAAGGAGGTGCTAATTGCTAAACACATATTAATGTATAACAACCCAGAGTATTATAATAATAGCAAATAAAGGAAGCCAATCAGGGCTGAAGCAAACTAACCTAATATCATAATGAAAGGCTTACGGGCTATGCAAACAAAGAACCTGATGCTATTATGTAACAAGGCCGTCAACTCTAATGTGCTGGACGTGAAAAACCCTTTAGAACATCCGCGCATAGTAGCTTGATGATAAAGTTAAACTCAATCAAACAGTTTAGAGCAGTGCGAGGGATTGCCTTCTAAATATTTATTTTGCCTCGGAGGCAAGCAGATATCAGATGTGGGGGTTATTTCTATGTTCTATATTTTCTAATCATAACAAATATAAAACTGTAATTAACCAAAAAATCAAATTAAATTAAGTTTATTTATAACTTTCAAACTGAGAGCCCATATATATAAATATACGAGTGGCTTCTGGTCAAAATGAATCAGAGTCCAAAATACCCCGCTTAATATACGTAAATCCTCAGCTAGGGTATCATTATATTATCGAAGTAATAATTAATCCTATACATATTGGAACATGGAAATACCGAATATCAAACTAATGAACTTTTCACCTCAATCCCTTACCTTACCCTTACCCCCCACACCCACCCAATCTTGTTTCATTGTTTCTATATTTCCCTCTGCATACATTTCCTTACATGTCGTTTAGTGGTGGTCGTTAACCAACAAATGCGCTCAACCACAAACCTATTGATTATAAACCTGGCCGTCTCGGACATACTCTTCGTCATCTTCTGCGTGCCGTTCACAGCTACCGACTATGTGCTGCCGGAGTGGCCATTTGGCAATGTGTGGTGCAAATTTGTGCAGTACATGATTGTGGTCACATGCCACTGCAGGTGAGTTGGCTGAAAGCGTAATATGGCCAGTGTAACATTGTGCTGCGTTACAGTGTCTACACCCTCGTCCTGATGTCCTTCGATCGCTTCCTGGCCGTCGTGCATCCCGTCACAAGTATGTCCCTCCGCACCGAGCGCAACGCCACTCTGTAAGTAACAACATACTACACTTGCTCTGATAGTGCCTGTAATTACGTCAATTAGTTTGTGTTTGGCCAATGGCTTAGTTAGGCCCCAGAGTTGGCCCGAGTTGCTTTGGGTGGTATTCGGCTTAGCACACGGCCGTAGTTTAATATGGCGTAGTTTAATAAATCTTAATATCGACACAGGGACTCGACTCAACTTAATCCAAAAAAAACACACATTTGAATGTATTTGAAAGATATATGAGCGTCAACTTAAGCAACTATACTTAAACTACGAAGCATATTCAAAGTTTGGATTAAATTTTTATTTTAAATTGATTGTAGCTTGAAATCAATTTATCTCTTTTTGCAATGCATTTTTAGTTCTTTGGTCAAATTTAAACACTCTTTTTAATATCTTTAACAAATAGACTTTAAATAAATAATAATAAATTATTATTATAATTATTATTATTATTATTAATTATTATTATCCTTACTAATTTTATATATTTTTTTATATTTTAATATTTTGTATTATTACGTTTATTTTTTTATTCAACGAGCCAAGGCTAATAAATTTCGTGTTTAACTATAAATTAGTGCTGTCTGCCATAAGTATTATATTTTCATGTACAATAGATTAACCGCCAGGTTAATAAACAGCTTCGTTTAACATGACAGAATAAAATCGAATTTATTAACATTTAATTGAAGTAAAAAATAAAAATTAAAGTGACAGGAACGTGCAAATAAAAAACAAACGTTTAAATGGCTGCCAATTATCTAACCCATTTTATTTTTTCTTTTTTTCTGCTGTTTTTTGTTTTTTTTTTTTTTGCACGCAGCGCTATTATGTGCGCCTGGATAACAATTGTGACGACTGCTATACCCGTAGCCCTGGCCCACTCTGTACGGATCTATCAGTATCATGGACGTGCGGGCACCGCCTGCGTTTTCTCCACCGAGGAGGAGGTCTGGAGCCTGGTTGGCTTTCAGGTAAGTCAAGCAATTGATTGCACGCTTTGTGGCCTCTAATCTGGGTGCGGCTCCCACTACGTCGCGCTTACACCCCTCCTCCACTCCTCCACTCTTTGATTAATGTGTGAGCATTATTCATGCCTCGCCGCCAAATTTGTCACTAGCTCGCGGCTCTACACACGGAAATTGCGTGAAATTGCAGAATGGCGACATAAGTGACGTCTACTCCAAAAGCAGACACAATTTCCATACAATACATCGTGTATACATGCATATATATTGCTTATTGTTGGCGTAAACTCATATTTTCCAGTGCTTGAAAGTAGCTTGCAATATATTTGCTACTAACCACACTCACTGCACACACAAGCACATACGCACACACACAGTACGCAGCCCGGAGTGACAAACACGACAAGGACAACGACGTCGCGCTGACAGCGTTCCGCCAGGATTGGAGCCATGTCAGAGTCACAGAAGCATGTAACCAACCCGCTGCACTGTGCAACTGGCATTCTTAATCAGCCGCATTTCATCTGATGACATTAGCCCAAATGCTAAATTATTTTATTAAAAGTATAGACTTAAAGTTTTAAGCAATAATAATAACTTACTTTAATAGCAGTAGGTAATATGGCCTTTAGGTAAGACAGTACTACATACAGACACTAGCCTGGACTTGGAATCCGGATCCTCGTTGGGCGATTGTCACAGCTCAGTCCAACTTGTGCTTTACCTGTACTGTGTTACTCGCTTGAGATACAAAAATGAAAATATTTGAGTGAATTTCTTTAGAAGATTGGTAGTTACCTTTATAAATGTACTCGGTTACTCGGCTCATGGTTCAAACCAGCTCCCGCCTTTCGGTTCGGTTCGTGAATCTGCTTTTCGACATTCTTGAACTTGGGTTATGACTCCAACCTTGGTTTGCCATCATAGGCTTATCTTAAGTTCTGCCTAATCGCATTAACCAAATATGGTTAGATTCAAATAATAGTTAAAACAAAACCTAGAATTCCGGTTTTAAGCCGGTTTGCGGTTTAAATATTAGAATGTGATATTTAAAAGCGTTTCTATCTAAAAAAAAAAAAAAAACTAACTGCAATTCCTAAGCAGATATCAAATTTCAGCATTTGTGACAATTTTGTGAAATGCTTTGATTGAAACTCGAGCCACTGTGCAAACACAGCCAAGAACACATTGTTGTTGTTTAGCAACAGACACTCAGACAGCCAGACCAGACAGCCGTCCCAGTCCTTATACATACATTCAGTATGAGCTAGCAGCTGGCATCCAAAGCCGGCGCTAGAGACAGACAATGGCGTCGAAGCCAATGTACAACTTAATAATGCTGGCATTCCCTCCAAGGGAGAGCCAAATTGTAGTGTATATTTTGCAATTAAGTTGCATTTCACCAGTACCAAGGGAAAACAAACTGTGTACAAAGCAATCTTTGTGCATCAAGAGAAGCGCTTTTTCACATCGCAGGAAAGTTTCCCCAAATGATGATTTTGTTAAAGAACAATTTTCCTGCTCATCTACTAAATTTGAATGAATTTAATACGAATGGCGTTCAAGAGATCTGACGCAGACTTTTCGACACAATTGTCTGTTAATTTGATTGTAAACTAAATTAAGAAGTACTTATTTTAAACAAGTTCATGCTCCAGAAACTGACATCTATAGTCAATTGCAATGCAATTCACATAAACTTAGTATTATAATGTGTCCAATAATTAAGCTCAATTCGATAAGTTTGTTATTCAACTCCAGTCTGCTGTAGGTCGAAAATAAAACCCGAAATTGCCCATATACTTATGAAGATATATATTTATTATTATTATTTTATATTTTCTTCATTAGGTCAGTTCCAAAAATATGATGCGATCTATATTGTTTCTATACGATTTTAAATTCTGGTGTTCTTCTGCGTGCTTCCAAATTGTTTTCTATCCCTATTTACGTTTATAACATATTTTTATACTTTTATTTCTCATATATTTCGCATACTGCTCTAAAAGAATCAATACCCAATTTAGCTTTAAGAGCTACTTCTCCAGTTAAAATGTCTGCTTTGACAAACTACATCCATGCTTTGGAGGGCGCATTCAGGCAGGCACGGAGAGCTCTTAGCACCTTGGCCCAACAAGCAACAAGGAGTGCAAATCGTGGAGTGCGACATCTAACGTGGTCTAGAACAACAGCATGGCGTGTCAGAGCAATTTCATGCCGGAAGGATGTGGCACAGCAACCCGCACTTGTGGCCAATGTTGTCATTCAACACAAACATCATCACAACAACAATGATAACCCACTAACTGCAGTTGTTCGCCTATTTGCCTGAGTGTGCGTGTGTGTGTGTGTGTGTGTGTGCATGTGTGACCATGTGCCTATATGCGAACACCCTGTGCTAATATATGCACTTGTGGAGCTCGCGTCTAATGCTACTCATAGAGCAATTTACACAGCTCCATTCGCTGACATTGGCAAGCACAGGCACGGGCCTAGGGAAAGGAAATGGGGAGCCGGGTCGATATGTTGTGCCGTCTAGCATAGCATATAAATCACAATTACTTTGGCGACAAGTAGGATATTTTGACTATGGGATACCCTGTAAGCAGATATCGGCAAAACAGCAATCGGTTCGCCTCTTGTTGCTGAACAGGAATTTATAATGTCAAAGTTATTTCGATTTATAAATTCTTTGATCGGAAAATGTGAATGAGATACTCTGTAAGTCGACAAGCACGTTCCAAACGGGAACATGATAGCGAAATATAAAGGGTATTACAAGTGCGACTCCACATATCCGCTGTGCGCCTGATATGGCCGCCAAACTTGTGCCATGGTTGGGTCTTTTATTTGGTTTTGCTGTTTATTTGGCCTGGACCCCCAAATGTCATTGCCATGTTTCAATTCTTTGTTTTTGTTTTCTGTTGACAAACAGTTGAGCATTTCGCTGGCAAATTTGGCGTTTCAATTTATTGCTCGCCCGCACATAAAAATGGATCAAACTTTTGACGCCTAAACGCATCACAAAAAAAATAAACAAAAACAAAAAAGAATAGAAAAACACAACAAAAATATACGAGCAACATTCAACTAGCACTTCACATGTACAGAAAAACAAAAGCAAGAGTGTCCTAGTCGAGAGTGCCCGACTATGAAGTGCCCTAAAGAAAGTACCAAGCTGCGGAGTGAAATATACCCAATCTGAGTAGCCTTTATAGTAGCATACATATGTACTTATATTTATAAAATTCTTCTTTAGTCAGGAGCTGGCAATAGATATTTATAGATTCCAGGGGAGCAAGGAAAGTTCCGTGGATGTAGATCCATATCGAAAAGTACTTAAACTTTCTGAAATCAACGTATACCCTTTTTAGCTATTTTATGGGTACAGGGGAAACTGTTGTCATCGTAAATAAATAATAAAATAAAACAACAAGGCTAAAACAAAAGCAAAAACACGCCTCGAATCTGCCCCGTGTGGCATGCGGCACCACAGAGCTCGGTGGCTCTACTTTATTCCAAGTTTAGTTTATTTCAGCTCTTAAAGTTATTCGTTCTTGAAGTTGCGGTTATGTGTCGGTCAAGGCTTAAGTGCTTTTCATTTATTGCAAACACTATTTGTTACGCATTTTCCAGCACACTCAATTGAATTTAAAAGTTTGCATTTAAGAGAATTAACATAAAATAAATCCTTGAAGCTTGGTTTTAGGTGAAACAGACTCATTAACGGTCTTAAATTCTTGTAAAATAGGCAACGACAGCTTATGAAATTTTTTTTTATTTCATCTCTATTTTAAACTAAATATTCTTCCGTTGTTTCAAGTAAAGTCATAGCTTTTTTAAAACTGAAATTTGTATGTAATTTACGCTGCCCGCATAAATTAAAAGCAATATTTCTGCATTTGATGAGCTGAAAAATAAATAGAAAACTTTGCGGAAAAAGTTCTCAGCTGCCTTAGCTGGTTCGTCGATGAATCGATATGAAACTAATTGCCTGGCCAAATAATAAGCGCACATTTAAAGATGTTGCCCTACATTCCTTTTAGGAATTTATGATGCTGAACACTTCAGATGATAGACCATATAACATGCATATAGCACAATGCATATATGTACAATGCCATAACTATCTATAAAGTTTGAAACGGCATAAAACTTCGGCTCCTCCATTTTTTAGCCATAGCTACAAAAGCTACAGATACAATTGCCTCAGATAGAGATACATGCTATGAAATTTAACTACATTGTGAAATGGAATGGCCTAAGGTTTGTCCCTGTGATGGGAGTGGTTGATTGGAGGAGATATATTCCGGATGTTTCTGGCATAGACACAAGTTGACAGTAGACCAGAAAACTTGTAGGCTAAACTTTTTCTACGCGCCTTTAAACTTTATGAGCCGCCTAATAAAAAGCTATAAACTGAAGTGTATGCCATATGACATACGAGGACCAACCAGACGATGTAGGGGGAGTGTGCAGGGTGTGCAGGGTGTGCAGAGTGTGTGGCATTGGGGACCGGACCGACTCGTTAATATTTGGCGTGCTCAAATTGCGCCTGGGATTTAGCCATATAGCAACACCATAGAAACTGTCGCGCCTGCTGTCACTCAGCCAAATTAATCAACTTGAGTTCGCGATCCCCTCACGCACATTATTCGCCCAGTTTTTCCGGGACACGCATTCCACATTGACATTAAAGCTCTAATAGTTTTCTCATATTTGGCTGAAGTTTATGAGAGAGTAAAGTCTTTATAGCAAGAACTACGGGTGCTAAACCTTAACAGAGCTGAGTAAGGTCTCATGAAAATATTACTATATTTTCGATATTTATCGGTTGCGAAGCTTGGTTTTCGCCTATTGCTGAATTTATATATTGCGATCTTGATTAAGTCACTATCACTATAAAAATTAAGAAATAAAATGGTACATTATAATTCTGTATTTACAAACATTTGGAATTGTCAGCAGGAAGCAATTCCGACATTTTGAATGTTAATATATTCCTT